CGATATGTACACTTTGATGTCGACAAGCGATTTTTTCAAATCAAAGAGAGTTTTATCGAGTATGTTGATGTCAGCGAAACGACTGGAAAGGCGATGGCCGATATCGCTGTTAACAATCTAAATAAACACAAAATCGAAATCAAAAATATGCGAGGTCAGGGATACGACAACGGATCGAATATGAAAGGCAAGCACATCGGTGTACAAGCGCAAATTCAAAGTATAAATCCGTTGGCTGTATTTATCCCATGCTCAAATCATACATTGAACTTGTCATTGAATGACGCTGCATCAGCCTCTATTGAAGTTTGTGCTTTCTTTGCTACGGTACAGAAGATTTACACTTTTCTTTCAGCATCAACTACTCGTTGGGATATTTTGAAGAAGCATTGCACATCTATTCATGATTTGGTGCCAAAAGCATTAAGTACAACACGTTGGTCGGCGCGATTAAATGCAATTAAGCCGCTTCGTAGAAATCTCAATAAAATCCTTGCAACACTCGATGAAATCAGCAATTCTGAGTCATTTGAACCATCTGTACGGTACGAGGCGGAATGCATAATAAACCTCATTGATTTTAAATTCATTTGTTCGGTCTGTATATGGCACGCAATATTGGAAAATTTTGACCGCGTATCAAAACTGATGCAACGTATTGTAATGAATTTAAGCGGCGTTGAAACTCTCTTATCTGATATTAGTCAGTTTTTAGCTGAATACAAAGAAAACGGATATGAACGTGCTATTACAGAAGCCACCGAAATTGCCGATGAATTGGAAATTCCGGCGAATTTCGAACAAACCCGAAGAGGAAGACCTCGCCGAAACGAGACAGATCCGGAAAAATTGTTCAAAGAAAACTTTTTTGATTTTGTTGTCGACGTTGCATCCGAATCGATTGAGGATCGATTCAAAGTGATTAATTCACACAGCAAATTGTACGCGTTTCTTTATGAGTATAAGGAGTTCAACGCACTCTATTCAAGTGGCGAATTGATTACGCATTGCAAACTTTTGAAAGAAACTCTGACTCACAACAACGAATCCGATATCGATGCCGAGGAATTATGTAACGAACTGCGCATAGTTGGCAAAATAATGGAAAGCCACCAAATTGAACATACCATCGACATTTTGAATGAAATCGCAAAAAAGAGATTAGAAAACTCACTACCAAATGCGGTCATTGCCTACAAGATCCTCCTGACGCTTCCTGTAAGCGTTGCAACAGGAGAACGCACCTTTTCGAAATTGAAGTTGACCAAAACGTACTTACGAAGCACAATGCTGCAGGAACGACTCAGCAATTTAGCGATAATTTCTATTGAACAAGATGTAGCAAAAACATTGAATTACGATCAAATTATTGATGAATTTGCCCACCTCAAAGCTAGAAAATGCAATTTCGATTAAGAATTTGATTTAGTTTGACATTAAAACTGCGTAGACAGTAAGAAGGTTTAATAAATTATTCAGTTTTCACGCTGCTAAGCTAAACACACCGTATTTCATTTCACTCTTCCTTTCAGATCTTGTTTCTTTTCGACCAACATTTGCTTGTTCTTTGTAATGTATGTAAACAAGGAATATAGAATTTTCTGTTAAAATTCAAAAGGCGCGTAAAAAATTTTGCACACGGGCGCGAGCGCACCAAAAAAAGCCACTGCTTGGCCGGCCTTTGAAAATTCAAAAAATGGCCTTCCTTCCAATGGCTACTGTTCCTAACCCTGTCAACCGATTTCAGACTTTTAGGTATCGTTGGAAAGGTCTCAAGGCCAGCTATAAAATCGGGGTAGGTGACTTTTCTCCCCCGATTTTGTCCGTCCGTCCGTCCGTCCGTCCAAATCAAACGGACATTTTGCAAACGGACAAACGGACGGACGGACCAAACTCAATCCTAAACGGACGGACAAACGGACGGACGGACCAAACTCAATTTTAAACGGACATGTCACCATAACAAACGGACGGACGGACGGACAAAATTTGTTCTTCAAATTTTTCTTCAGCTATCATAACTTCCAACCGACTTGGCCGATTGCGTTCATATTTGGCCAGATGTTGTAAGTCTATGATCCCTCGGACCTGATAAATTTTTGACCGAATCGGACCAATCTGGATTTTTGAAACAATTTTGGAATAATGTTCTTTGGGCCTAATATTGAAATTTTAAATATATTGTTCAATTTGAATTTCGTAAATTATCATTTCGAAATTCGAACCCATTTTCGAGAATTCATAGTTCGATCTAGAATTCATTTTCGGGAAAGTACAGATAAATCCCGTGTATCATCCTCCACTTGTATTGTTTTTACATTGAAGGGCGTTGCACGCAACTTAACATTCATAATACAAAGTTAATACGTGTGGAGACACCTTAAGAAAAATGACACAGATCTAGTGCTACGGTTAATCTTTACTTTTGTTTTTGATATTTGAAATTATTTCCAAAAATTCAATTTTTTGACTTGGAACTCCATTTCG